TGTGTGTGTATGTGTGTGTGTGTGTGTGTGTGTGTGTGTGTGTGTGTGTGTGTGTGTGTGTGTGTGTATGTGTGTGTGTGTGTGTGTGTGTGTGTATGCGCGCGCGCGTGTGTTCGAATATCTGCTGTGTTTGAGGCACAAAGTTAATAACTGCGCTGTTAAAATTCTTAAGATTCCTTGTTAGATTTAGTCGTTCTACTGATAGTAACGTCACACTACTAATGGTGAGGTCACACTACTGATAGTAACATCACACTACTAATGGTGAGGTCACACTACTGATAGTAACATCACACTACTAATGGTAAGGTCACACTACTGATAGTAACGTCACACTACTAATGGTGAGGTCACACTACTGATAGTAACGTCACACTACTAATGGTGAGGTCACACTACTGATAGTAACATCACACTACTAATGGTGAGGTCACACTACTGATAGTAACATCACACTACTAATGGTAAGGTCACACTACTGATAGTAACGTCACACTACTAATGGTGAGGTCACACTACTGATAGTAACATCACACTACTAATGGTGAGGTCACACTACTGATAGTAACATCACACTACTAATGGTAAGGTCACACTACTGATAGTAACGTCACACTACTAATGGTGAGGTCACACTACTGATAGTAACATCACACTACTAATGGTAAGGTCACACTACTGATAGTAACGTCACACTACTAATGGTAAGGTCACACTACTGATAGTAACGTCACACTACTAATGGTAAGGTCACACTACTGATAGCAACATCACACTACTAATGGTAAGGTCACACTACTGATAGTAACGTCACACTACTAATGGTAAGTTCACACTACTGATAGTAACGTCACACTACTAATGGTAAGGTCACACTATTGATAGTAACGTCACACTACTAATGGTAAGGTCACACTATTGATAGTAACGTCACACTACTAATGGTAAGGTCACATTACTGATAGTAGCATCACACTACTAATGGTGAGGTCACATTACTGATAGTAACGTCACACTACTAATGGTGAGGTCACACTACTGATAGTAACGTCACACTACTAATGGTAAGGTCACACTACTGATAGTAACGTCACACTACTAATGGTGAGGTCACACTACTGATAGTAACGTCACATTACTAATGGTAAGGTCACACTACTGATAGTAACGTCACACTACTAATGGTGAGGTCGCACTACTGATAGTAACGTCACACTACTAATGGTGAGGTCACACTACTGATAGTAACGTCACACTACTAATGGTGGGGTTACACTACTGATAATAACGTCACACTACTAGTGGTGAGGTCACACTACTGATAGTAACGTCAAACTACTAATGATGAGGTCACACTACTGATAGTAACGTCACACTACTAATGGTGAGGTCACACTACTGATAGTAACGTCACATTACTAATGGTGAGGTCACACTACTGATAGTAACGTCACACTACTAATGGTGAGGTCGCACTACTGATAGTAACGTCACACTACTAATGGTGAGGTCACACTACTGATAGTAACGTCACACTGCTAATGGTGAGGTCACACTACTGATAATAACGTCACACTACTAGTGGTGAGGTCACACTACTGATAGTAACGTCACACTACTAATGGTGAGGTCACACTACTGATAGTAACGTCACACTACTAGTGGTGAGGTCACACTACTGATAGTAATGTCACACTACTAATGGTGAAGTTACACTACTGATAGTAACGTCACACTACTAATGGTGAGGTCACACTACTGATAGTAACGTCACACTACTAATGGTGAGGTCACACTACTGATAGTAACGTCACACTACTAATGGTAAGGTCACATTACTGATAGTAACCTCACACTACTAATGGTGAGGTCACACTACTGATAGTAACGTCATTCTACTAATGGTGAGGTAACATTACTGATAGTAACGTCACACTACTAATGGTGAGATCACACTACTGATAGTAACGTCACACTACTAATGTTAAGGTCACACTACTGACAGTAACGTCACACTACTAATGGTGAGGTCACACTACTGATAGTAACGTCACACTACTAATGGTGAGGTCACACTACTGATAGTAACGTCATACTACTAATGGTGAGGTCACACAACTGACAGTAACGTCACATTACTAATGGTGAGGTCACACTACTGATAGTAACGTCACACTACTAATGGTGAGGTCGCACTACTGATAGTAACGTCACACTACTAACGGTGAGGTCACACTACTGATAGTAACGTCACACTACTAATGGTGAGGTTACACTACTGATAATAACGTCACACTACTAGTGGTGAGGTCACACTACTGATAGTAACGTCACACTACTAATGGTGAGGTCACACTACTGATAGTAACGTCACACTACTAGTGGTGAGGTCACACTACTGATAGCAACGTCACACTACTAATGGTGAGGTCACACTACTGATAGTAACGTCACACTACTAATGGTGAGGTCAGACTACTGATAGTAACGTCACACTACTAATGATGAGGTCACACTACTGATAGTAACGTCACACTACTAATGGTGAGGTCACACTGCTGATAGTAACGTCACACTACTAGTTATGAGGTCACACTACTGATAGTAACGTCACACTACTAGTGGTGAGGTCACACTACTGATAGTAACGTCACACTACTAGTGGTGAGGTCACACTACTGATAGTAACGTCACACTACTAATGATGAGGTCACACTACTGATAGTAACGTCACACTACTGATAGTAACGTCACACTACTGATAGTAACGTCACACTACTGATAGTAACGTCACACTACTGATAGTAACGTCACACTACTAGTGGTGAGGTCACACTACTGATAGTAACGTCACACTACTAGTGGTGAGGTCACACTACTGATAGTAACGTCACACTACTAATGGTGAGGTCACACTACTGATAGTAACGTCACACTACTAGTGGTGAGGTCACACTACTGATAGTAACGTCACACTACTAGTGGTGAGGTCACACTACTGATAGTAACGTCACACTACTAATGGTGAGGTCACACTACTGATAGTAACGTCACACTACTAATGGTGAGGTCACACTACTGATAGTAACGTCACACTACTAGTGGTGAGGTCACACTACTGATAGTAACGTCACACTACTAATGGTGAGGTCACACTACTGATAGTAAAAGTCACACTACTAGTGGTGAGGTCGCACTACTGATAGTAATGTCACACTACTAATGGTGAGGTCACACTACTGATAGTAACGTCACACTACTAGTGGTGAGGTCACACTACTGATAGTAACTTCACACTACTAGTGGTGAGGTCACACTACTGATAGTAACGTCACACTACTGATAGTAACGTCACTCTACTGATAGTAACGTCACACTACTAATGGTGAGGTCACACTACTGATAGTAACGTCACACTACTGATAGTAACGTCACACTACTAATGGTGAGGTCACACTACTGATAGTAACGTCACACTACTGATAGTAACGTCACACTACTAGTGGTGAGGTCACACTGTTAATGGTGACCATGATGACCGTGCATGCATTTTAAAAAAGTTAAAGATTTGGTTCTTTTGAGTCATATTTGGATGCCAAAAGTTTATGTTCATAATGTCCTTTTTTTTTAGTAAATTTTTCATCCACAGAAATTCTGGGTTTTCCTGCGAGTTACTCTCAGCCTGACACTGGGATTGATCATCATGGGTCAGTATCCATTTCTCTCTCCTTCTCTCCTCGCTATATTCAACACGTATTTATTCCTCTCTCAGACGAGGCCCTCTGTTTCTGTATCCATTCTCTCTCTCTCATATATATATAGTATAATATATATATATATATAATATATATATATATATATATATATATATATATATATATATATATATATATATATATATATATATATATATATATATATATATATATATATGTATATATATATATATATAAGTAACGGAAAAAATATATTTCATTGTGTTTGTTTATTATTAAATTATTGTAAACCTATCTAAAATATATTTAGTTGAATTAGACTAAATTAAATTGCGCTTGTTATAAAGTTAGGCAAGTTTTCTAAGGTTCATTTGGTACAAAATTGTTAATCTTTACATTAACATAAATGAAAAAATATATTTTTAAACGTATAAGAGAAATTTTTAGAAAGGACTTAATTGTAAATGAGTTCTTACTCATTGACCAGTTTTACCTATTCGGCACACGATATGTATATGTACAGGAAGACTAATGATATATGTAGAAGAAATCACAATAAACGTGTGATTATGAATATATAAAAATACCACAGTAGAAATAAAAACACCTGAGTGCTTTCATGTGCTTTCACTTATATATGTGTAATGAGTCTGGAATCCAGTTCTTTGAAAAACGTGTGCTTTAAATCTCTGTTTTTGCTTATCCTCTAATACTCCCTGTGATCCGCAACACCTCTCTGTTGTCCAACACTATGACGACTGTAGGTGTCGGGCAGCGTCGACACGCAGGTATAGTCCCATGCTAAAGCTTGCCATTTTTCAAAGGATAGATGATAATACCGTCGGGGTGGTTTGCGGGATTGTGAGTGCTGTTGGATGACAACACTCAGCCAGCCAGTCAGCCAGCTGAAGGAAGCCTCCTCTTAATAATGTTGACTTCATTGCTTACGCATCGCCGCAAATATACGTATATTCCGTGTGAATTGGGGCAGCAAGAAGAGCCACTGCAATATGTGTGTGTGTGTGTGTATGTTTGTGTGTGTGTGTATGTGTGTGTGTGTGTGTGTGTGTGTGTGTGTGTGTGTGTGTGTGTGTGTGTGTGTGTGTATGTGTTATAATTCATGCAATGTGATTGTCAGTAAGTTGTTTTCTTATAGTGTTCTCACCTCTAAGATTCTCTTGCTTACTTTGTCAGTGTGTAACTTCGGGCAGGAGTGGGAGGTGGGTCAGCTGGACACCCACACGCCCTACCGTGCAGGCACGGGACAAGAGATCAACGCAAGAG